AGGGGAATATACTTTAGTTGTCATCGACGCTTACTCCCGCTTCCCAGAGGTTGAAATTGTGAAGTCTACATCAGCCACCTCAACCATATCTAAGCTCGAAAGAATATTTGCAACCCATGGACTGCCAAACATACTAAAAAGTGATAATGGCCCTCCCTTTCAAAGTAAGGAATTTAAACAGTTCATGACAGAAAATAGTATAAAACATCAAAGAATCACACCATTATGGCCAAAAGCCAACTCTGAAGCAGAGAATTTTATGAAACCAATGGAGAAAGCAATTCGTGCAGCTCACATTGAGAAAAAAAATTGGCGGAAAGAATTGTACCACTTTTTATTGAACTATCGAGCTACCCCACACACAACAACAAAGTTCGCGCCAGCTGAACTTTTATTCAATCGAGAAATTAACACCAAATTACCAAGTAAAATTATCAACCAAAACACCAAGATTGATCAACAAGTTCGAGCAAACGATGAAAAGGGTAAAAGAAACATGAAAAGAAATGCAGACAAGTCAGCCAATGCCAAAGAGGTTGACATTAAGGTTGGTGATACAGTATTGGTCCGTCAGACAAAAAAGAATAAATGGTCAACACGGTTTGATCCTAAACCATATTGTGTAACGCGGGTGAAAGGAACAATGATAACAGCTACTCGTCCAGGACATTATATCACAAGAAACATTTCATTTTTCAAGAAAGTGCTACAACAAGAGATTCAACACAACTCTGAGGATGCAAGCGATGAGGAAGATTACAGTAAACTTGATAATAACCTCCCTGACACAAACATTGAGGAGAACAATGAACTTGCTGAGAGACGGTATCCTGCGAGAGACAGAAGACCTATCAATAGATATGGTCAAAACATATATAATGCTTAGTAATTTTAATAATTCGATTTTATAATACCATTGACATTTTGTTAGGACTTCAGTGACAATTCAAAGTAAGGGAGGGATGCAGTGATCACATGATAGACATGTGATACAATAACATTTATATATAGTTTTAGGGTGTGTTCACATTAGTGATTGATTGAGCGTTGAATAAATAAGTACAACATTACACGGGCAATCCCTCTCTGAGAAAGGACAACGTCTTCAACGGACTGGTGCCAAAATCGTTTGTTTTTGGATTGGTCGAGAGCGGTGCATACAAGAAAAATCCCTTCAACTTCAAGAATTTTAGCGTCACCTCGATTGGAATCAGCGTCAATGGAGAAGAAATCACGTTCAGGCCCCTTCAGCTTTCCTATGCAACAGCCACTCCGAAATTCACCGAAGCCTACAACACGTTGTTTGCTGGTACGGGAAAGATGTATTACAATACTGGCAACGACATATCACGAGAAGAATATCCAAATGGCTACACCTTATACGCTTTCGATTTGACGCCAGACATGTGTGGATCATCGCCTCATTTTAATGTTGTGCAGAAAGGAAATCTTGCCATTGAGATTCAGTTCGGTACGGCGCCCGCAGGTGCTGTGAGCGTCGTGTGTTACGGAGAATTTGAAAACACCATACACATCGACTCCGAAAGAAACGTGATCTACGATTACTCTGGTTAAATGAATACTGCTCAAATAAGATATGCCCTGGACACAATCCTATCGCGCACAGAATGTTCTGCGGGGTATTTCCTAGCGATAAGCTACCGCAGACACTGGAAAAATATCCCTGTGGGTTTGTCGCCAACACCGATCCAAGTGACAGACCCGGAATACACTGGACAGCCTTTTACTTTCCATCGGAAGGGGAAGGAGAGTTTTTTGACAGTTACGGGCGGTCGCCCAATTACTACAAGGAATTCAGGAAGTTCCAAGGAAAACATTCATGGGATTACAATAAACGTAAACTGCAAAGCGACTGGTCCGATGTCTGCGGACAATATTGCATATTTTATCTTAGTCATAGAGCACGAGGTGTTAGCATGAAGAAAATCGTGCAAATGTTCAGTAATGATACTATGTTAAATGATCAAAAAGTGTTTCATTTTGTTCAAACTCACTTTAAAATTAAACAGCCCTTTGCTGGCCTTAATCAATGCTGTAAAAGGTTAATATCTCAAGAAACCTAAAGAAACAACAACAACAACAAAATCCTCTTAAAATCATTTATTAATGAAAAACAAGAAGTCAATAATCCATCCACTGTCTAGGTGTGCCTCTTTCCTCAAACGATTTCAATGCGGTCCGGAATCGTTCGGCGGAACCTGCAAACCGCGGACTGCTAAATTCCCTTGCGACTGGCGTATCATTCACTTGTTTCCATTGCTCCTGATTTCTAACAAGGTCCTTAGGCACATTCAATTTAGATAATGCTTGAAAAAACTCCTTCAAACCCGCAGGATTGAAGTTCTTTCTCCACCTCATAGCATCGCCAACCAGATCCGATATGTTGGAATCCTGAATGGTTTCGCCTCCGATCTTCACCTGTCCCGTTTTGTCCCACGAAATAACATCTGGTCTTGATTTCAAACGGTTTAAAAGCGCCGTAGCTCTTGGACGCATCGTTTTTGGTATGTGGTCTACCACAGCAGCTTTTCGTCATCGCCCAGATCCGAGTGCCCAAGAATATCTGACAGCCGTATATCGCTACGCAAAAGATCCGAGGTGACCGGGGAGGTTTCCAATTTCTGCCTTCGTTCGAATCTGTCAAGCATCTCTTCAGGAACCAAAGCCATCCGTTTAGCTTTTTTCATTATACCAGCAAATTTCCAAGCACACTTAAGACAGGTGGTAAAACAGTTGTCAGTAAGCTTCCTCCCTTCTGCGTTAAATACCTCTTTTTTTGTTTTGTTGATACTTTCTTATTCGCTAAAGCACGGAGATGTGTCCTATAACGTGATAACATCCGTTTCTGGTGCGGGGTCAGAGGAATAACCCCTTTAAGCAAATTGAGTGAGCACTCGCAAATAGCCGAAAGCACTTCGCCCGGAGCATGCGCAATAATCATCTTATGCAGCTTAGGCTTACACACAGCCAGAACTTGCAAGTAGGGAAGACTTCTTTGCATACGCTTCGACATCTCGATAATGACCCAGTTCAGTTATGCACTGTGCCCTAAATACGCTTTACGTAAGCAAACTGCTGTTCCCCAGGTAAAATGTTGGTTCTTAAACGCATGTTTTCGGGGGTTAGTTGATGACAGTCGATTAGCAAATAACCATAGAGCCTACTGGTGGCGTCACGAAACGCCTCCAGAAGATAGTCGGTATGCCCGGGAAACATCTGTTTGGCCAGGGTTGTAATACCTAGGGAATCGCGCGGATTCTGGAATATTAGCATGTAATGAGAATTCAAACTTATGGTACGGGATAATTTACCCGGTGGAAATAGATTTTGTGTCAAGTACAATATAGATATTCCGCGATGACGCGAACCGCAAGTAAACAAATTTGCGACACATGGATCGTTGGAACATTGGGACATTAGATCGTCCAACATGATTAGAGAATGGTCATGTCCCCTGGTTAGTTCATTCACATCGCTCGGAAATCCTTCTATCAATTCAACATTCGGAAGGAATTCATCAAATTTCTTTTGATACTCCCCGTAACAGTAAATAATTTTGGTTGGAAGAGGATGGAACATTTCTTCCAAATGATTTAGCATGCAGCGAACCATATATGACTTGCCCGATTGCGTCTGCCCCGAAAAATAAAAATTCACGGGTGTCTTAAATCTTACGTCCATGGTGACAAGACAGAAAATGAACTCACGCTATACACCCGTACCGTTTTAACACTATCTTTATTGTTCAATTATATTCCACCTACAACCCGTACTATTATCTAATTGGTTCGTTCTTAAAAACGCGTCCGATATAAGATTTAAATCTATGAAAAAAGCCCTCTTCAATCTTAAACGCTGAAAAGTTTATGTTCTTTAAAGGCGTGGCCACTAAACGAACAGCCTCGCACGTCACCTCCTCGGACTCCTTCAATAAATAAACTAATGATAAGTAGGCCATAGCACGACCAAAATTAATAACGTTTATTTCAGTAAAAACCCTTGATATATTGTCATGATTTACATATGCCACCATATGTCCGTACTCCTGATCATGATGTTTAATTAAATAATTGATATGATACGATAAGGTTTTCATATCAATTCCGATATTGCTTTTCTGCAATTTGTCTAAAATCCAATCCATCCTTTTCCCTTAACAGTAAAACAACGAATAAATACAAAACAAGTAACAGGATTTATTTATACTAAATTAAACTGTGCCTAGTGCCCAGTTCGGTCCAAAGTATATTGTAAGTTCCTAGAATCTACTAAAATTACACGTGGCAGGTACGTGTCCCCGCGAAAAATACAAAATAAAGCTTTAACTATTTTGTCAACGTCAAAGTTAATGTCAGCAACATGGTTGTCAGAATGTCTGTTTCCTTCCTCTTTTTCCTCACGGTTATGCCCTGGATGGGTGCACCATTTTGCCTGGAATACTCAGAAATTTGGAAGTTGGACTGCTCTGGAGGGAACTTGGACCATATACCGTACCGCAAGGTAATGTCATGGGTGAGGGCAGCCGATTTCAGCCACAACAACTTCACGGTACTGAACACGATGGAGCTTCTGGTGTTGTTTCCAAATCTCGTCCGGTTAGACCTAAGGGACAATCCCTTAAAGTGCCCTCCTGCGACCGTAGTAGAAATCCTTAGCGACTGTCCGCCCGCAATCTCTTCGGTCACAATCTCTCCAGCTACAATATCTTCACCTACAGCGCAAATAAATGGTTCTACAGAGTACTCCCCCATCACTATCACAGCTTTCCCTATGGCCAACATATCCACAACAGCTACTTCTGGCAACGGGAAGTCCAACCTGTATTTATTTATAGTCATTCCTGTGTGTACCGTCGTTTGTATTGTTCTCGTCTGTCTCCTGCCTGCTTGCCTAATGAAGCGTCGCCGTCGCCCTTCCAACAGCATCCGCATGGAAAAACTATTTTCAATTGCCTTGTCTGACAGTGACAGTGAGAGTGAGAGCGAAAGCAGCTTATAACTTCCAGCCCGTGTGCTTAATATTAATATTTTGTTCGTAATAGGATTCTAAAGTCATTGTAAACATTGCCCGAATTCGAATTCTTTCCAGACATATTCGCTTTGAAGCACAGCGATCCAGAATAGTGATGAATACTCAGACAGTACATCATATTTAAAAATATAACAGTTCAAAATGTAAACAAACCGATTAACTGCATAGTTCAAATTAGCAGAAATCTCATTAGCGTGTCAGGCCCCGTTCCCAGAGCATACCCGCGAACGGGCATGCTCTGGGAACGAGATTGTAGCGCGTGTCAAAACACACACGATGACTTCCTGTTGATTTATCATATCATGCAAAACTGACAAGTTCAGTAAATAAACCGCCAGAACGGCTAATGAGACTTCTATTCTATTGACACTTCGAGCGATCATGTGTACACGTGTACTGAAATCTCATGATGGAGAAAACCGATAGCCTGTACATGAAACGTGTGCTTTATTATTAATTATCAAGTGTCAAAACATTTCCTTTCACGTTAACAAAACTACTTGCACATATTACTATTTTCGTACCGTTCATTCTAGTCTTATATGGACTAAATCGACAGTTACTACATGTAATTCCTACGATACTATAAGATCTACTAGAGCTAACGTAATTTCAAAACAAAACAAATTTAAACGTGTGGTTTCTTATAATCATAGCGAAGTGTCGAGCGATACTTCCGTGCTCCCGCTACCCTGTTCTAAGCGTCCTAAGCCTATTAGTTCTATTTCAGAGGGATGCTGATGCATTGCTACCCTTCTGTTACGACGCCTTGCCAGCCATCGTTTATACAGCAGATAGCTTCCGCACAAACACAATACAAACAAAAATCCCAATAACAGACCCAATGTGACGTACAATAAAAATAGCTCCGGTCCCCTGGATGCCGCATTATCCAGGTGTCCAGCCACTGATGACGCCCTTATGGTTGTTACGAATGTAGGCGCCTTTGTAACCAGCGCTGAAGGTGTACCAAATACCGAACTACTGTGTCCAGAGAAAGATGGAGTTGCCGAAGACCGCAGCTCTAAACGGGATGCCGGACTGTTCGGTTGTCTATTCACTGACGATGTCCCTACGGAGACAGCAAAAACAGAACGGGATACCGTAAAAGATGCGTCATATACCAAACTACCGTGTCCGGAAAAAGGCGGAGTTGCCGAAGACCGCAGCTCTAAAAGGGATGCCGAACTGTTCGGTTGTCTATTCACTGACGATGTCCCTACGGAGACAGCAAAAACAGAACGGGATACCGTAAAAGATGCGTCATATACCAAACTACCGTGTCCGGAAAAAGGCGGAGTTGCCGAAGACCGCAGCTCTAAAAGGGATGCCGAAATGTTCGGTTGTCTATTCACTGACGATGTCCCTACGGAGACAGCAAAAACAGAACGGGATACCGTACAGAACATGCCAAACACTGAACTACTGTGTCGAGAAAAAGATAGGAAAACACAATCGCTCCTAACGCGTACCCCTGAATCCTGAACGATCGCACAGTCAAAAGCCGGGTTCCAACGAAGGTCAATAAGTTTCAGGTTGGGAAATACCAGGCAAAGTTCTGTGATATTGACAACAGTTAAATCATTCCTGACGAAATCAATCACCCTGACCCAAAGCTGCCGTTTTGTAAACATTCCGTCGATAGTTTTCAACGATAGGTCATGACAATCTAATAAACCCACAAGAGGTTCCTCGATACACGTTTCCGCACTGCATTTCACAAATACTACCAGTAAACTTAACGCCAAGAAAAACATTTTTATACTGACCAGCTTAGCCCAGGCTGTTATAAAGTCAAACTATCTCGCTATCATAAACTTCGTCCTTTATACACGGCAATGTTTGTTAACCTAAATAAACTACCATACTACAATGAAACGCTAATTTTCCTGTAACCAGAACAATAATCTGAAAACTATGCAAAAGCGTAAGAATCACAATACTATGCATTATAATTTTCCTGTAGCCACAACAATAATCTGAAATATGCAGAAAGCGTGGGAAGACAGAGGCCGAAATTAATCAGATTAAGCGTGCTAAACACAAATAAATATTGCGCAATGTTCATTGGTAACTATTACTAATAATTGCACAACGCTCATTTTCCAAAAGTGGAAGCAGCAAACAAACAAGCGGAAACACAAAACGGCGGGAATCCCGCCAACAACAACAACAAGTCGACAATAAGAATTTGAAAAACTATGGGAAAAGACAAGAAAAAAGAGGCAGAAAGGCAACGAAAAATATGCCTTGATAAAAAAAAAAGACAAAAAGGCTAGAGGCATTCTGGGGATATGCTGAACAAAGGAATCCGGCATTCCTCGGCGAATTTCTCGCCTTCCATGAAGGCAGGCAAAACCAGGAGACCACTCGAGAAACAGAGCAGAGGACCCAGGAAAGCAGACAACAGTCGCTGGGATTACCGATAATCAGTAATGCTGACCTGGATTTTTTAAACGATCCAAACAGCCTAGACTTTATAGATAACATGAATTTTGACTTTTAAAGTAATCTTAAAACAATTTCGAATAAACATTTTTATTAACACTAATCTTTATAACAGTTTTGAAAATAACACATATTAAATGTTCAAACTATTAGCAAAATCGTTTATGAATTTGTTTGTCAGGTAATGTTCCTCGTGCTTTTCGGGTGGTTTACTTGAATTGGGTTCCACAAAACTAACATCTTGACGAGGCTCCTCAGGCACCCAATCAAAGTACCCGCACGAAGATTCCTTGTCATTTGGACAGCAGAAGAACTTTCGATCTTTATTGAGACCTTCCTTTTTCACCTTACGGACCATACACGAAAGGCTGTGGTGACACTCCGGTTTGACTAAAGGTTGTACATTGCCCCATAAAAACGGTCTCCCATAACTTGCTTTCATCAAATTTCTAACAGCCCGCATTCTCGCAAGCTTACCATGTCCACCACACCGACGATGAGGCTGTTTCGTAGCTCAGTTATAGCCTTTTCATACAAATAGCCCTCATCCTCGCAGCAAAAGAAATTGCAGCTAGGATTCTGATTGCAAAACCAGAAGGAACCATTTTAAGTTGTCGAATGAGCAGCGGGTTAGCCATGCAACCATTCATCTCTTCACAAAAACTATAAACAGAAAAACAAAAATCGCTCGTCCCTCTATTTATATACTCCATCCAAGACAGCTAACCAATCAGAGACAAGCATAATCATGACGTAGTCCAGGGGCGTACGTACACCGTGTACGTACACCATGTACATACATAGTATATGTACGGGGTGTACGTACACCGCGTACATACACCCCGTACGCGTACGTACACCTCTAGTATAAATACACTTCCCCATAATCATCAACCACACACCGAAATGGAATGCATAGGAGTTCTACCAGTGCCGGAAGATGTCATACAGCCAGCAAACATACCTGTATTTGGAATCCTGGCGGAAAATACAGCAGAACCGGGACAGTGCTATTTCTGTTTCGAACAAATTAATGGAAACGAGCTACTGGCGATGACAATGCATTGCTGCCAACAAAAAGCCCACTGTTGGTGTCTCCAGATGTGGGTGACACATTACAACGGAACAGATATCGAAACCGTACGGTGCGGGTACTGCAGAGCACCATTCCCGGACAAGGAACTCTGTTATCTGTGTCTACAAAACAAAATCACCGGACAAGAATTGAAGAAAACCCGATGCTGTCAAACAACAATCCACAAGAAGTGTACGGAAATCCTAAAGGAAATACTGGCAAACCTGACATTCGATTTCTCCCTAGAATGTGGCGAATTAACCTTCTGCGGATGCGTCTGGCACAAACTCTAAAAACACTATAATTATCAAAATCTCTGTAAACTACTGTAAAACTTAATAATTTTTTCAAATATTCACCGCTGTACGCAATTCTGAACATTTCCCTGCTTCCGGGTTTCCATGACGTCATTGCTTCTGCATACCCATTACTTCCGGCATACTCATTACTTCCGGCATACTCATTACTTCCGGTGCTCTACTCGTTCCTGCATACTAATTACTTCCGCCGCTATACGGCACTTCCGCCGCTATACGGGGGGGGGGGGTAATACTACTAAAATAAATTCAGTTCTTTGTAAATGTGATGAAGGATCGTATATTCTGAAGATATTGTTGTTAGATTGTACTTAAAAATGATTATAATTCCACCCAAAATTCTATTTTTTGGCAAGTTTGCGATGTGTTTGAAAATTGCAGTGTTTCCACTTTTTAACTTCCAATTAGAGAAAATTCCTTGAAAATTCCTGAAAATTTCCTTAAAATTAAAAAATTAATTCATGAACCATTTTTTCAGAATTAATTTGAACCCTGCATCATGAAAAAGTCGATCCTAAATGATGTAAAAAAACTTTCCCCAGATGCTCAAACAAGCTCGTTGGAAGGATTCCATTCAACATTGAATCAATGACATCCAAAAATGCTTTGTCTTTCTTGGCTTGGAATGTATTGCAGGTAAATTGGTAATCTTAGTTATTTAACACATTAGCAGTCAATGCACCAAAATGCGCCCTGTTACTCTTCAGACGATTTTACTTGTCAGTGGTAGAGTACTGCCAGTAAATAGGTTAAAAAGTAAAATTATTTAGATAGAATGCAGCTGATTTCTGAAAATTACCACCCCAAATCCTGCTTATTACTTACTTTGACTTCAAGAGACGCTATTGCCATGTTCAACTATACAGGAGTTTAAGTCACTAAACTACTCTAGACCAATAAACTGCACTATTTTCAATTGTCTTTTTATTTGTTATATAGGCATATACTGGCCAGTCTCCATTTCAACGAGAATGTGAAAAGAAAAACAAAGAAAACTAAGGATGGCAAGAGTTACATCAATGTAACATATCCAAAGTTCAAAATGGGTGATGAAGTTCTACGCGAAGTTGCAGAGCCCCCCGCTTATTGTAAGGTCTTTTTCTTAACCAGACTATCCACCCTAATGCTCACTGACACACCCTACATTATCATTTTATTCTGTCTAATGCCAGACAATTTTACCTATCAAAGAAGGATTGCTAGCACTTGATGTGACACAGTTACAGTTCTGTATGCAGTGTAATGCATGCAATGTATGCATGGAAATACGATGAACCTACCATACTGCAATGGTGCTAATGTATTCAGCAATAACAGTTTGTCATATTGTTCGGTTCTGTCTGAGCAATGACAAGCTGCCCACAGGCTACCATGACGTTCGGGCACAAACATACTCAATTTTATATACTGTAATGAAAACTACTTTTCAGGTTATGTTGAAAAGATCAAAGAAATGATGTTCACCACGTCAAAAGAAGAGAGAGAAAAGATCAAGAAAAAGTTTAAAGCAAAATGCCCAGAACCTTTGAACAGACAATTTCCTGAGAGAGCAACAAAACAAGATGCCATAGAAAATGATGGTTTGAGGAAACGGAAGATTGCCCAACTATTCCCACCAGGTAAATCATGTATACAATTAATCTATTCAAACTTGTCATATTAATCTAAAAAGGGTTAGAAAATTGCCTGGACAAATTAGTAAAAATTAAAATGGCTATTTCTTATTATATAGGTGAAGATCAAGAAAAAGAAAAGGAAAAAGAACAAGAGCATCCAACCAAAAAAACACGTTGCTGCAAAAAATGTAAACAAGCAATGAAAGGACTTCCCAGGTCACACTGTCCTACTCCAGAGTAATGTAACACTCCTGGTCACTGGTCAGGTTGTTGGAAGCATATTAAGATAGCACTAACCATTGAATGCAAATGAGAGATAGTTCAAACAGCCACATTGATTTTGTTAAACTACATGATATGATAAACAATATTTCAAATGTTCTGCTAGTGACTGCTCGTTTATAACGGTACCAGACAAATTTTTGTCTGGTAAATATTTGTGCTGATACACTTTGTGTTCACACTGGCCCAGCCTATCCAAGCATATTTTTGTTCACCCATCCAGGCAAGGTTTGCATACCTAGTTTGAAATTGTGAAAATATTTGTCTGGTACTGTGTACAGTAATCAGTACACATTTTTATTTGGACAAAAATATGTCTGGTTCTGAGTAAACAGGTTCTTACACAGAATACATGTTTACATGAGACGCGATGAGAAATTACTCAAAATAACTTCATACCAGTGTCATTCTACAGTTGCTCTGTCCTGCCCAGATACATATCCTTTTGAATTGCTTGAAAAAAATCTCTTTCTAATGTTGTGATAAACACAGGCAGCCAGTGGTCGGGTATTTTCCCAGCCTATCTCGCGATATTCAACTGCACGTAAAAATATTAAAAAAAGAAATAGTTGTCAATGGCACCATAAAACCGTTCAGTCACAAATACTTACACTCAGATGAAGCAATATTATATTGTCACTGTGACAATACCTGCAGTATGTATGGGGGATTGTAACAACCAACTAATTTTTAAATTGCCAGATATTAACTTGACCCTTTGTTTATAAATCAAATAAAGTTATGATAGTCTCTTTGTATAAATCAAAACCTGTGGCATTTTGGATTTTTGGTAAACTATAATATTGTTTTATACCCCTATTTAGCTTGAGTTTATATAAACAAGCATTACATTTTACAAGAGGCATACTGTCACTGTCATTATAAAATGCTCATGAGAATTTGTTCACTGTGGTCAAGATTTATTTCCTTGTGTCCTTTAATACTACAATAAATACTTACTCGATTTCTGTGTGGCCATACTTGTTGTAGCACCTATCACTTTTAGTTTTGAGCAAAGGACCAGCTTGTAACAGGACTGTTTTATTAGTCAAGGGATCGAAATCTGCATGGCTGGTTATACACATGGCGTCTAACCCTTCAAATGTAAATTTTCCTGTCGCTTCGATAATTTCTTTACAGCAGCGATATTCACGAGACCCAACAAGCAACGAATCGTTGCAGTTCCCACATTTGCACCTACACAAATACAGTATATTTATCGAGATTATTTATAATACTGCTGAGCACCATTTACATTCAAGCATCGCACGAACTCATGGATATAACGGCATCATTTCCATAATTTAATATTAAAATACACATTCGAAGGCTTACCAGCTTTGTACTGGCAGAACTTTTTCATATCGCTGCTCTAAAACCTCCCTTAGAATACCATCCTCGTCTTCACTGGTATCAATGTCTTCGCTGCCAGACGAAGCAAGTGGCTCACCTTGATAAGGCAAGAAGTTGCCCTCAAATATGAATTCATCGCTGTCATCGTCGCCGCTGTCATAAGTTGACTTGTTTTTAGATAGATCTTCACTTAAAGCGTCCATATTTGATTCTAAATCGGACATTTTTAGCAAAAATAGCAGCAACAATTATCGAACGTGTGTAGACATTAATACGGAATGTTCAAAACAACAAAACACGACTCTAACCAGTGACGTCATCATGTCACAAAACTCGGTCCCAGACTTCGGACGTATAATTGGTAAAAAAATGCCACTTTCAGAGTCAAAAAAGGCACTTTCTATATCACTACGTCAAAAACGGATTAGCTCACAATATTCAGCATAAAAAACTCTATCAGAATATCCAAAAAAACGGGACTTGAAAATTTCGTTTCATAAACGCTTTAAAGTGTTTATATTTTGAATCATATAATAAAATATTAATTGATTGATATATTTTGCTAGAGAGTAAATTCCAGGTATAATTTTTTAACTTGATGAAACCTATATCATTTATATATGTTTGGAATCGTTGTAATCTAGCAATTTTAAATCTATACAAATCACTCCCATAGCTGTACTAGTTAAAAAGATACAAACAAATTTATAGTGTTTACATTTTGGGTCACAACTATTAATTGGATATAATTTTAAAAATCGGACATTTTTAGCAAAAATAGCAGCAACAATTATCGAACGTGTGTAGACATTAATACGGAATGTTCAAAACAACAAAACACGACTCTAACCAGTGACGTCATCATGTCACAAAACTCGGTCCCAGACTTCGGACGTATAATTGGTAAAAAAATGCCACTTTCAGAGTCAAAAAAGGCACTTTCTATATCACTACGTCAAAAACGGATTAGCTCACAATATTCAGCATAAAAAACTCTATCAGAATATCCAAAAAAACGGGACTTGAAAATTTCGTTTCATAAACGCTTTAAAGTGTTTATATTTTGAATCATATAATAAAATATTAATTGATTGATATATTTTGCTAGAGAGTAAATTCCAGGTATAATTTTTTAACTTGATGAAACCTATATCATTTATATATGTTTGGAATCGTTGTAATCTAGCAATTTTAAATCTATACAAATCACTCCCATAGCTGTACTAGTTAAAAAGATACAAACAAATTTATAGTGTTTACATTTTGGGTCACAACTATTAATTGGATATAATTTTAGGTCAAAGCCATAACAGAGTCAGAGGGTTTAAACTTTAGCTCTGTATTTTTTTAAAGTTAATGAAACATAGACAATTTTTATATTTGGAATCATGGTAATCCAGCAATTTTAAATCCATTAAAATATTCAAATAACTGTATTAGTTAAAAAGATAGAAGCAAATTTATAGTGTTTATATTTTGAGTCACAACTATTTATAATTGGATATAGTTTAGGTCAAGCCATAATAACACTTGAGCGTATAAAGTTTAGCTCTGTATTTTTTAAATTAATGAAACCTAGATCATTTATATATATTTGGAATTTTTTCTGTGTTGATGTAGTGTACTCAGGTGAATATGATATTTGCGGTGTTACTCTGAGTGTATATCCACACCGGGCGAGCTTGAAAAACATGCCCGGCCACGGTGGGATTCGAACCTATGACCTTTGGAATACTAGCCCAATGCTCTTCCAACTGAGCTATGCGGTCAGGACGGTTCGAGTAAGTGATATTTCAGAACAGAATCTAGTTCCTTCGATACCAATGTATTCTAGTACGATACCAATGTTCGATACCAATGTAGTCTTGTTTTGTTTTTTTTCCCAGGTATTCCCTTGCCCAATGCAAATTGTTTTCTTTATTTGCAGCAATATTCGAAAGGCGGAGCATGTGGAGGAAGCCTGCCAAAGAACCTCAAATTCCAGTGCCAAGGCATGCAAGAGAACCGGCCAACAGCAGCAGCCAGGAAGACAACACCCCACAACGTGGACTCAGTAAGGACAGGCCTGCTTTGCCATGAAAGGATGTCACCCACAGGGAAAACGGAACGGGGCGGAGAAACAAATTACGTCAACGAAACAAGCGAAACCAACAACTCCCGCCCCATCTCCTCCCAAGCAACATTCACCAAACCAGCAAAATGTCAATCGACCAAGGCAACCAGTGCCCGAGCCTCGCAGAGAGTTGAGACTGCAAACCGATATGGCGATACAACGTTTGGGCGAAAGTGAGAAAGACCACCCACCAACTCACGAAGAGCTGTTCCTGTTCTTCCAGGAGATGAACAAGTGGGAATGTTTGGATGAGCACCTTGTCGCCATGCAGGAGATTCAGGCCGAATCAGTTGGTATGGCGGAAGATGATGAGGACACAGATGCTTCGGCTTCCTGGGTTGTCCAATGGCATTGCCAACTGCTTGTGCCATACAATTGGGTGCATGGTGCACGCTGTGCACGAGAGGCATGTGGACGACGACGGTAACAAGGAACAAAGGATCAGTGCAAAGCTTGACCAGCTGCAAAAGAACCTCGGTGCCATGCAGTACGATCTGTACGTACAATCGCTGGGGGGGGGGGTGACAAATGCACTGCATGCGTCCAATTACACAAGACCTACAATGCATGAGTACATTAATTAGCAACTAGAAATACATCTCACAGTGTTAAACACTATAATTTTATTGTTTAATATGTTATCAAAATCAAAAAAGCCTCCAAAATCATCACTTATAATTATGTTACTATGTGTAACATGACACAAAATACTTATTTGCTGGATGTGATTACCTGCTAAAGCAATGAAGAAAGCCATTTTAAATACTTCGATATGAAAATATTTACATTTTATTTATATTTTATTGACAACATCAGGCTTGCACAATTGGTTGATAATAAAGTTACGACTCGAGTAAACAACATTGCTGGACGTCTGTCCCAATTCAAATGTCCATTTCACAGCGACAATTATTTGCAAGACTATAGCGACCGCACAGCAGGAACTTTCTCGCAAATGCGATGAGAATATAGAATGTGGGCATCTAGCTGATGCGATGACATACTTAGCATCAACGTCAGACACATATTATGCTCTTCAGGAGAGAACTGAAGATGCAATTAACACATATAAATTGATCAAAAATCAAGTCCATACCAACGTGGAACCACAGTCGGACGAACCAGTGGAACATGCACATACACAAGACAACCTCCACTACAAATGCGAACCAGTCAAAGTTGTCATCACCATTGTGTTCAATACCACCATCATTTCAACCACCGAGGAAATCATTTGCAACAACACGTAATCGAAGGAAAATGACTGCAGATGAAGAGAGTTATTTCAAGGAAGCAGTTGCCGATTTGCCACAAGATGAGAACTTGCCTGTTAACTCAATCATCTCAGCTCTAAATAACAGCAATATTTTTATGTCATTGCCCGTCTGAAACAGAATTTACAAAGCAACAGATTAGAGACAAGTATAAGTCATTAGTAAGAAGAGAAAATTATATTGGACAATACCAAAGCAATTTCTTTTTATGTACATATTACTGTAATTATAAATCAGCGTTTAACCCGAATAAACAGTGTCAAAATTATATGCAGCACAACTTGCCAATGACTTATCATTAGAGAGTTAATTGTGCGAAGGGCAAACCTTAGATTGTGACAATACAATAGATTTAGGGTAGGGTTGGCTGGGTGTGTGTGCATGCATCAGCCTCGTCCCCAGGCTCCAACTCAGATGTGCGGGTTACAATGCAAGCAGTGGACGGCTCTGGAGCCTGAGAGGTTTGCAGAGAAAAGTGTCGCGTTTGAGAAAAGTGAAAGAATCAAAATTTCATCGATAATTTTTATCAAACGTAAATCATTTATATATGTTTGGAAACGCTGTAATTTGGCGATTCTAAATCTAGTTGAATCATTCTCATAGCTGCACTTGTTAAACAAATAGAAGCAGATAAGTGTTTATATTTTGCATGCATATAAATATTAATTGACATAGTTTTGGTCGACAGAAGGTAAATTCCTGGTATAACGTTTTTAAAACTTGATGAAACCAAGACTATTTATAGATATTTGGATTCCTTGTAATCTGGTGATTCCAATCTACTTGAATACTTTTCGTAGCTGCACTAGTTAAAAAGGAAAAGCATATATTTAAAGTGTTTATATTTTGAGTCATATAATAAAATATTAATTGAATGATATATTTTGGTAGAGAGTAAATTCCACATATAATTTTTAAAACTTGATGAAACCTATATCATTTATATATGTTTGGAATCGTTGTAATCTAGCAATTTTAAATCTATACAAATCACTCCCATAGCTGTACTAGTTAAAAAGATACAAACAAATTTATAGTGTTTACATTTTGAGTCACAACTATTAATTGGATATAATTTTGGGTCAAAGCCATAACAGAGAGTCACAGGGTTTAAAGTTTAGCTCTGTATTTTTTTAAATTTAATGAAACGTAGACAATTTTTATATTTGGAATCATGGTAATCCAGCGATTTTAAATCTATTAAAATCATTCAAATAGCTGTATTAGTTAAAAAGATAGAAGCAAATTTATAGTGTTTATATTTTGAGTCACAACTGTTTATAATTGGATATAAGTTTAGGTCAAGCCATAATAACACTTGAGGGTTTAAAGTTTAGCTCTGTATTTTTTAAATTAATGAAACCTAGATCATTTATATATATTTGGAATTGTTGTAATCAGGCGATTTAAATGTATGTGAATCAATTTCATAGCCCCACTAGTTGAGAAGATAGAAACAGATATGTGTTGTATTTTGCGACTTTTCAGAGCCATAATATTAATTTACACAATTTGGGTAAAACTACAACGCTTTTTCAGCTCTAGAAATATTATATGGACTGGTCTGGACAATGCATATTGTACACTGTTATGTCGTCTGTCTATCTAGCTTAGGGCAGGGTAGTTTGGTGAGTTTGAATTTATTTTTTATTCCTTATAATAATGTTACTGTCGGGTCTCCATGTTGCGCTGTTGATTTCCCAAACTGACTATAACAGCTATTTGAAGAAAAAAAGATAACATATGACCACAAAATATAAAAGATTATTACCTAGATTATTAATTAGTACAAATTTTGGGTAACAATAAGTATACCGGGGCAGGGGTCATAATTCCCAAGACTTCCCATTTTTCAAAATGGGTAGTTCTAAATGTAAAATGGGTAATTCTAAAACTTAAAGGAACTTATTGCCACAGCGATAAGAGTTTTTATTGCTTCCCGGAATAATTTATGGTTGAAATTAATTATGCGAAATAAGTAATTTGCGCGCGCAAGTTAATTTAGGTATAGTCACGTGACTGGAAATTTCGGTATTTATCAGTGGTGAAGCGGGCTATCTGTCCTTTCCTATTCCACGAGGGCTGCAGTTCACATCAAGAAATTGGATAGAAGAGAATTATCTTCTGTATCTGGTAAATATCTCTTACTTGTGCATAATAATTAATAATATATTGGATACCAAGGACATTTCCATTTTGCTTGCGACATATGGATATGTATGGGACTTTACATACAAACCAGACTGCGGTGTTGGCCATTTCGGGTTCGCAAAAGTTAGAAAGTCGAAGTGTGTGTGCGCAAAACAGTTCCCAAGGGCGCAAATGTAGCAAGATACGTGTTAAAAACAACGAAAATTAGGGATTACAGGGCAGATTAAATGGGGAGAATTGTTATAAAGTGCTAAATTTCTGCCTAAAAAATATGGAGTGCGACGTTGACTAACTCTGCAGTTCTGGTTTACAATGACTCACATATTCATGACTTTTAGTCGCAGTCTACAGGGGTAACTACAGTACACTCTAAATTGAATAAATGTGAACTTTAGGAATTTATTAGCCAGCCACTAGTCTTCCGATTTATAAAATGGGAGCTAAATTTTTGGGAGATATCTACCCTCAGTGTGTAATAGATAGTTTTGCTCACACAGCTACTCGTGGTCGTGATTCTACAAGCGTAGAAGATCAATACTGGGCTCCTTGCGATTTTGGGGCGGCGGCGCGACGGTGACAACACACTCCTTCAAATAAATGGTAGTAAAAATAATTCGACGCGTATTATCAGTCGTATGAATTTAATACAGTCTTCAGAGGCTCAGAGCACAACACTCCGTTACGAGTAACCTTAACTATTTATACAGAATACCTATATAAAGTGATAATTATTAACAACACGATTTAACAGAGAGACTAGACAAGGGACGACATGAATGACATTTAACATGGGTTTTATGACTGGGTATAGTTCGGCTGAACCTGGTTTGAAATTGCACTTGTTGCGGCTTGAAATGCAGAGGTTGCATCAAGAAGTAAAATCTCTGATTTGGCGTAGTAATTACAGAGCGAAGACAATGTCTAAATTATTCATATATTGTGATTATTCCATTCTCTCAATGATTTATTGTGTTGGAGGCTGTTGCTGTCGCGTTGCCGTCCTGGGTCGTAGGGTCTCTAATGCGAAAGCTCAGCGTCTTTGACTTGTGCAAGCTCTGCGTTTAGTATAAACGTACTATATGTAGCATATACCTTGCGCTGTTGCGTGACTAAAATTTTCCGTGGCTTTTCAAAGCGAAATAATCCCACTTGATAATGACATTAACAGGATATTAAATCCCTACAGCGTCAATTATCGATTAATTATAGCCTACTGCTGACACATTATGTCCAGTCCTCGCGATTGCATATATTTTACAGATGTGGCGTGCATGTCTGTGCTCTTCACTATATTTGTATGATATAGCGGATATTTGTGCTAATTTTATGTTAGGGGTCAGAATTGTATACGTATATGTTACCATCATTATGTTTGTACATATGTTATCGTGAATATGCTAACAATAGCATTTGCGGTGTTGTTGCTGCTAACTATAGCATATTGTGCTATTGCTATTCGGGTTTATTAGCTTATTAGCAATAGTCCCGTTGTTACCGTTTCATGTTATTGAAGTCATTTCATGTTTTATGGGCTATAGAGCAACTTGGCTGTTTTCAGATGCCCATACATTGAGATTTCAACTTTGCCCTTGGGTTTTTTGCTACACAGAACTTTTTCATGAATTTGTAGCATTTATATATACGATTGTTATAACTTTGTATTGTTTTGTGTATATACGTGTCAAAGTTGTGTTTTAAACATGTGTACGTGTGCGTATATATATTCTGCCCTTGTTCTTGTGTCAAATACCCACAGTTGAAATCAATAGATTATGGGATGGTGCGGCTGCAATAAGCCATAATTATGCCATAAAGGCTTTGACTGGTCTCGTAGTATTCGGCAGCACAGAAAACCGAGCTCAACCTGACAAACGGTTTGCCGATGGTGCTTTAATATGCAGGGAAGCGATAAAATGGGTTTTCGAGCTTTATATGAAAACTAATTAGAATGAGAAATTAGATGAAGAAAATGCATAAAACTTTTAAAATTCAAAATTTTCCAATGGAGCATGCCCCCAGGATCCAATACGCCAGCCATGACAAAAATGTCTCATTGAAGGGGGAGCTTCTGGCACAGTGATTAATGCATGAACCTTATCTTCTCACACAGTTAGCCTGTGTTCACTACCTCTGTTCTTGTCGAAATGGGCAGTTTCTAAAATTTTCGTATGATGACCCCTGTACCCGGGAGAGAAAGATTAGCAACCTTCAAACGGAAAAGATCCATAATTATTACTTGCAAGACATTCCAAGGCAGAACAGCTGTTTCATTCTTTGTGTTACATTAAAATCAAGGGCTATCACAACATTACAAGGGGATTTGATGTACTTTCAAACACGTTTAATAAGCTCTCAAGGCAAATTTTTAAATAGACATTTAATTTTGTTAAACACACAATAGCTTTAGCAGTTACTTCTAGCAATAGGAGATTAAAAGTGACAACTTTTTGTTTTGTTTTTTCCCAGGTATTCCCTTGCCCAATGCAAATTGTTTTCTTTATTTGCAGCAATATTCAAAAGGCGGAGCATGAGGAGCAAGCCTGCCAAAGAACCTCAAATTCCAGTGCCAAGGCATGCGAGAGAACCGGCCAACAGCAGCAGCCAGGAAGACGACACCCCACAACGTGGACTCCGTAAGGACAGGCCTGGTTTGCCATGAAAGGATGTCACCTGCAGGAAAAACGGAACAGGGCGGAGAAACAAATTACGCCAACGAAACAAGCGAAACCAACAACAACTCCCGCCCCATCTCCTCCCAAGCAACGTTCACCAAACCAGCAAAATGTCAATCGACCAAGGCAACCAGTGCCCGAGCCCCGCAGAGAGTTGAGACTGCAAACCGATATGGCGATACAACGTTTGGGCGAAAGTGAGAAAGACCACCCACCAACTCACAAAGAGCTGTTTCTGTTCTTCCAGGAGATGAACAAGTGGGAATGCTTGGATGAGCGCCTTGTCACCATGCAGGAGATTCAGGCCGAATCAGTTGGATGGCGGAAGATGATGTGTCTGTGATAGTCACACAGATGCTTCAGCTTGCTGGGTTGTCCAATGGCATTGCCAACTGCTTGTGCCATACCATTGGGTGCATGGTGCACGAGAGGCACGTGGACGACGACGCTAACAAGGAACAAAGGATCGGTACAAAGCTTGACCAGCTGCAAAAGAACCTCGGTGCCATGCAGTACGATCTGTACGTAAAATCGCTGGGGGATGGGGGTGTCAAATGGACTGCATGCGTCCAATTCGACACGACCTACAATGCGTGAGTACATTAATTAGGAACTAGAAATACATGTGAGAGTGTTAAACACTATAATTTTATTGTTTAATATGTTATCAAAATCAAAAAAGCCTCCAATATCATCACTTATAATTATGTTATTATGTATAACATGACACAAAATACTTTATTTGCTGGATGTGATTAGCTGCTAAAGCAATGAAGAAAGCCATTTTAATTACTTCGATATGAAAATATTTACATTTTATTATAAGAACTGTTGACATTATTTTGTTTGCAGAACAAAAGAAACTTAATGGAGCTGAATGTAATTTGCGACAAGAAAGCTAGTTGCAATGAGTAGCAGTAAATGAAACTTTTTGTCTATTATTGTCATTCAAAGTTACTTCAGCAGCGTAATTTATTGGATGCTTCCAATTATGTTGATCTTTCAAATGACGTCATCATTTCAAGTCTGGAAATGTTAAAATCTCGGAGACAAAATAAGCCTGTGAACAGATGTTACTCTCTACGAAGAGAGAGGAACGTCTGTGAGTTGGATTCCTTGTTCTGAACTTCTGGTCACATGCATTTTCTACATATTTGTGGAAAGGCCTTTGATTGGACAGTGCTTTATTTGAATAATATATGACAAATGAAGATATTTCATTGGTTAATTGATACTTAGCATGCATTTAAAATAAAAACACAAAAATATATGCCAAAGGAAATCTTCATTCTTGAGGAAATCTCCAGAGGAAAATGTCTGAATTTAAATTTTCAGAGCGATAGAAGTCTCCAACATTTGCTTACCCTTGCAGAGCCAAAACACAAGATGTCGGTACCCACCCTAGGCAATGATGCCCCAGAAATGGCATTTGTGGTTCGTTTGTACGAAGAGGCAGAAAATAGCACGACAATGCATGACATTTTGACAAGGCACATAGGTGTGCAGTCGTTGCGGACACCAAAAAGCTGCAGGTAATGATAAAATTGTCAATCCCACATAAATTATGCTTGTACATGGTGTCTCTGCAAGCCAAAACTTATACGGCATGTAACCATGCAAAACTGCATAGAATTTAGACTCAGCTCCTTTACCATCTCAGCCTACTTTAAGGAGTACATTTCAACTATCATAACTGCAATAATATTTACTATATAGTTGACTATCCTTTGGTTGCAACTGTTCTGTTTTCCGTTACAAAACTATTTCAGATAGAGTTGCTCCCATCAGTTCATTTTTGTGATTGATTAATCGATCTCGACAATCGATCAATCGTTTTGATTAAATGAAATACAACATTTTATGTACAAAATTCTGCTAAATGTATCGGGGGCTGCACTAATTAGTATGAACGTTTTAAATGAGTGTATATAATAATAAACTTTAATCACTAGCAGAAAAATCAAAACAAGTTGCCCATCTTGTTGAAATTTTTTTATAGAGCGGGAGCAGCTCTAATTTCAGGCTTGTTTATATGGGCTCACATAAAGCTAACTAACCTGACTGCACATAAGAATGTGATAAAATGAGAACAATTTCCACCAAAGAACAGTCGACTCTGTTCCATCTTAATGGATAATCTCTTCAGATAGGCAAAAATTATTCAAAGTTAATTTTTATGCAAGGTGTATCTTGGGAATGAAGCGGGGCATAAAACATGACTAAAGATTAACAATGAGCAATTTTCAAATGACTTTGAAATGCAATTTAAATAAGCATTACCACATTTAATGTAGAATGGCTGCAGTGCTTAGCTCCCAACAGCGTGCAACAACACAGATTTCCAATTTTGCGCATGTTCCAACTTTTTCTTCACAGCAGTGTGCCATCATAATACCAAAGGATGCTGGTTAGGTTCAATAAATGTACACAAAATTTTCCACTCGATCATTTCAACATAGTCGATATACAGTTATTCATTCACTTCATTCACCTAATTTCAAATTCGAATATGAGGACAAGCATTAACAAGAAAACGAGGTTCCAGGTATTACCGTGTTATCGTGTTAAACCTTATTTCCAGATAAAACAGGATGATTGTTTAATAATACCTAGCAAGTCATCATATCACATTGCCATGCGTCTTCATTTCAGTCAGCGTTTCCACTCTGAAAAATATTTTCCTCTAAATTTCTTTCCATTTTTATTATAATTAATAATTAAATAATTAACCTGGCAATCTTGTATTGAAACACAGTTAATTAATTCATAGTAAGTAACTGTGTATTTTGCAAGTCAAACACCCGTATTCTGAAAGCTCACTCACACTCAATGAGTGGAGGTTCAATCTGAGCTTCTCTTGAGTGTTGAATAGCTGGAGAGTGAGTAGTCACATAGTAAGGTATGACACTAGCCCTCCAACTATTCAAAAATAGCATTCAAACTCAAGAGAAGCTCAGATTGAACCTCCACTCATCGAGTGTGAGTGAGCTTTTAGAATACGGGCGTAAATCTGCTCAGGAGTGTGCCAATGCCAACAGGCATGCCCATTCCATTGTCAAGTATTTTATATCTTTTAGCTGTTCTCCTTTTGAATGAAATGTTTTAATGACATGTTAGGGTATTGGGGAATTTGATGGCAAAGTATCGAAAAATTTAAATGCCTGGGGGTATGGCCAAGAGGGGATGTTAACAGCATAAATAGATTTGGCACATTAATCATGCTTTGGCACATTAATCGTGCATTAATTGTGTTCACGAGTCGGACATCACCTAAGGAAATATATAAGTAGGATTAATCTAAACTCATTTCCTCACTGAACCTCTACATGATTTGGGCAAACAAGTGCATGCGACTTAATTTGCTGACTTCTTATGCTGCCCTTTGCTCATTTTCGATACAACTAATTAGAACTTGGTAGTACGGACAAACAAGCTACAATTCAGTTGTTAAATAAAAAATGGAAAATATAGTGCCAGTGGAGAATACAGATAAAGAGGTCGAAGCAATCCTACCACTTGTGCAGAATGAGGTATATATTTGAAGTAAGCGGACATTTTGCCATGCATAGGACCCATTGAAGCTTGTTGCATGCATTTTGCATGCATTTTGTTCCAACAAGCTCGATGGCATAATCAGACTTGTTATTCAAAGTTGGGCTAAGAAGTCTAGTATATTCACGATTGTGACAATGACTACAGTCATAAAAATCTCACATCTTATAACAATTTATGTCCTTCAGGACAAAACTGAAGATGCAATTAACACATATAAATTTATAGAAAGTCAAGTCCATACCAATGTGGAACCACAGTTGGACGAACCAGTGGAACATGCACATACACCAGACAAGTCAACCTCCACTACAAATGCGAACCAGTCAAATTATCATTGCTATCGTGTTCAATACCACCATCATTTCAACCACCAAGGAAATCATTTCCAACAATGCGTACTCGAAAGAAATTGACTGCAGATGAAGAGAGTTGTTTCAAGAAAGCAGTTGCCGATTTGCCACGAGATGAGAACTTGTCCGTTACATCAATCATGGCAGCTCTAAATAATGGAAGTTTTTACATGTCATGCCAGTCTGCAACAGAATTTACAAAGCAACAGATTAGAGACAAGTATAAGTCATTAGTAAGAAAAGAAAATCGCATTGGGAAATAGAAAAAGCAACTTCTTTTTAAGTATATATTACTGTAATTATAAATCAGTGTTTAACCCAAATAAACAGTGTCAAACAAGGGCAAAAAATGTTAACCAATCAGCATGTTTGTTTACATTTTGTAAGATTGACCAATCAGAATGCCTGAAATTCACAACATGTAAACAAAAGGAGTGAGAAAATAACACCTTGTTCTAAGTCTCCTGTGACATTTGTTTCCAAATTTTCACTCTAAAGACAAACCGGACTATTTTCCCCATTTTCCTCGGGGGGATTTTTTAGTTTCGATCTAAAACGCAAAATATCAATGTTTATAAAACCCTGTTTTTACGCACTTAAACTAGCTTGGCCGAAGCATGAAATATACCGAATATATCTATTATTATTCTACTACCTATATATTATCTTACTAATTTTTTAGTTTTGAGCTATTTCAATATTATATAGGCTTGTATTTTATCTCACTTCCTTTTCTCCGGAAATATGTCAGAGAGACAGAGACTCAATCATTTCCGGTTACTGTTATTCTGTTGTCGGCTCTGCCCACTCTGGCGTTTGCCAATGGAGAATTCTTTCAATTAACATGTCAATGTTGACAGCTTCATTTTGGTGGTCGCCCTGTTGATCGTCGTCATTGTCGTCGGATAAATCATCCTCCTCATCACTTTCTTCACCACCAGCAGAGGGCACAGACACATGCACATTTGACATGGAATTGTTTGACCGAGGTCTTCAACTGTTTTTGATAATACTGTTTGACAAATCGGGCAATCGCTGATGTCTGGGAGGATGCAGACAATGTGGAATGAATGTCCACATCCACGAAAAACATTCCACATGGAGCTTTCTTTTTGGCAGTCGATCAAATTTTCTATAATTATAGAAATTTTAAAGTAAGATTTACATTTTATTTTGTGTTGCTATTTATCAGTTTAATACTATTTATATATTTACATGACCTAACGACCAAGTGCACTCCAGTGAAAACTTTTCTGCCCTTGAAAATTCTCCGTTTCGGTAACCCTGCATCAGGGGTGGATCCAGACCGATGCAAATGCATCAGGCAGATTACAAAATCAGATTACAGTATTGTAGATATGTAGATAAAAATCAGAAAGAAAACTATAAAATTATTAAAATATATTATATATATATTCAACCCCCAAATCATCATAATCATCCTTTACAATTTTCTCCAGCTAATGAATACCAAAATCAGATGTAAATCAATGTTAAATATCACAGCAAACAACAAAATATTTGTAGTGTGATCGCGAATTTGTAGTTTGTGTTATTTTACGCCAATTAACCGTAAAATAATTCACAACAAATTTTTCGTGTTTCGCCTGCATCACTGTAGAAGGCTAGAAAGTGAATGCATCACCTACGTCACGGTAGATTTGATTTGCAGCCATTTTGCATCACTGAATGCATTGGTTCCAAGACTTTTTCCGCGCAAAATCTACTGTGACATCATCAAAACCATTGTTCTAGAAGCCCCTACGTCACGGTAGACTTGTCCGCTGAGTGATGCATTGCATGCATATTGCAGGCTCTTGCATTGGTGGACTGATGCATAATGCATTTTCCATTTGATGAGCTAAAAGCTCTTGGGCAATTGTTATATCTTTGATATTAAAATTATTTAAAATGTTCCATCTACTGTGATGTAGCAAGACAGCCCACGCTTTCTCTAAGTCATTGCGGCAAACAAAGGTATGCAAATGAAGTACGATCTATTGTGTTTGCTTCAATCAAAGGGGTAAGAAGACACTGTGAAATGAGAGTTGCTGATTTCATCTAGAAAACTAAACCTTGGAATCTGTTCTCTAAAGGCAAGAATGGAAGAGATATGTCGACGGAATTGTTGATTCCCAAACATATCACTGAAAAGTGGCAGTCTGGAGAACTGAGAGCTCTAAAGTAAGCAAAATTCATCTATATTTTATCACAATTTAACCATTTAATGAGTATTTCACAATATAAACTGTACAATCTTCTGCACAACATAGTTAAATGTGTATACATACTTAATTTTGGTATAGCTCATTTTTCACTGCTCTGTGAGTCTGTGTTTGGGGGGCAGGGGAAGGGACTCCTGAGTCCTCTTAGTACTACGGACTACTACTGTAGGAAGCAATTTTGTATTGGGGGGCTGATTAGTCAGTGGCGATTATTAGGTCATTATTTCCATCTCAAAATTTACAGGTCATCGCTAGTTTACAAATTATTGGGGGGGGGGGGGGCTGAAGCCCCCCAGCCCAGGGCTTGAAATAACAGCCGATTACCGGCAACAAATACCTTATGATTATTTCAAGCACTGCCAGCCCCCCCTGTTGGTAGTGCCCTGTCTTAGGGAACTTGAGGCAGCAATAGATGATACACTAGCTGGACAAATTTCATCTGTGTTTACATAGCAGTAACAGGACAATGTTCTGTTTAATCCCTAAGGGCTATTGCCTATTTAGCTATTGTAAATATTGTGAGCTATATTGTCTTGCAAGTTGCGAATATCAATAATGTACCCAGGTTTGAGGAATTGCCTACAATTATTCCTCAATAATCGATTTTGTGTAAATTCCATCTCGCGTGTCAGTCATTTCCTTGATAAATATATTGGAACAAATATTGTATAAATGATATTGTTCACCCTAACAAAAAAAGTCTATAGGCCTGGCCTATAGGCCAACCTATAGGTTTCTATAGGAAACCTATAGGTTTTTATAGGCAATTGGAACATTTTCTATAGGTGACATATAGGGATGCCTATAAGTCTATAGAGCTCTATAGGTGCCTAAAGGCTTCTATAGGGAATTGGAACAATTCCTATAGGAACCTATAGGCCACCTATAGACTTTTTTCGTAAGGGCAAACTATTACAGTTAATAATTAATTATCAGGAATAATATATACAAATATGCAATTTTTTTATATTATGAATTATATTATATAGAACTAGAGGTGATGGAAATCGCCTCTACAGAACCTGTTCAAAATTACTTTGTGGCATTGAAGATCTCTGTGGTTTGCTGAGAGACTTGACAAGCATTGAGCTCTTTAATAACCAAGAGTTTTATGCTTTCCATCCATACGTCAAAGAGAAATCACATGTATTCCAGGCAGACAATACTGCGTTTTCTGCCACAGCATCTGATTCTGCATTGGGTGATGGGTACAACAGGAAAGATCCCAGCAGCAGGGTGACGGTTGTAAAAAGAGAAGCTATCAGAAATACTACTGGTGGAACCTATGCCTCTCTTATGTGTGTATTTGACTTGTCTACTGGAATGGGTGTTATTTCATTTCAAAATGGAACTATATGGCCACGACTATTCCATAACAACATTAAAACTAAACTTGTCCAGGAAGCTAAGCTAATTCTTATGTGGATAACTCATGGTATCCATATTCTTCCTGGGATGAGTAAGGATTTTCAGCCAAATCATTTTGTACCACTTGTGGAATTTATTACAAAGTCTGCAGAGAAGAAGAAATTACCTCAACAATTACCTATTTAGATCTGAAAGCATGCAGAAGGAACTTCTGAAGGTTTTTTTAAAAATTTTTTATTATTATTATTTATTATTATTATTATTATTATTATTAACTTTCTTTTGCCCACAAAATATATACAAGTAGTAAAAAAATAATTACAGTAGTATAATGGGCTAGGGACCTTGGGAAATCCTGTTGGACTTTTATAGTAAGGCCCCTAGTTTTAGTATTCTAGTGATAAAAGACTATGAAAGAAGAAATTATATACAAGCAGAAACTATTTACAACATATTGAAAGATGAAAAAAAACAACCAAGAAATAAAATAGTACATTACTATCATTAGTGTTCCTGAGGCTATTGCTAAGGTTTTTATAATTTATTTGCATTAATTAGATAATAAGTAAAGGGATTTTGCTTTTCTCTTAAAAGAAAAATAAGTTTTAGTATTTTTAATTTCGTCATCAAGAAAATTCCATAAAGAAATTCCTTTGTTAAATATAGTGTATATACGGTAGTTTGTTCTTTTATAACTCACATCTAACTTGGTAGAATTTCGCGTATTATATTCGTGTACATCGTTATTTTGTTTGAAATAATCATTATAAAAGTCCGGCAAATTTTGACAATAGTAGCGACGATACATGAATAAACTTCATAAATAATCATTGATTTGGTAGATGTTCAAGGTTTTCAAATCCAAAAATAGTGGTTTTGAATGTTCCATATAGGATTTAAAACTAATTAGTCGAACAATTTTCTTTTGCACATTCAGTAATTTTTGAAGCCTGGTTGGGTACGTATTTCCCCAAACTAGATTTCCGTACGTGAGGTATGGATAGACTAAAGCATAATATACCAATTTCAAACTGTTTTTGTTAGTAAAATGTCTTAATTTTGCAATCAAACCCGCAGATTTTATTACATTTTTCTGAACTGAGCTAATGTGGTTCTTCCATGAAAATTCGTGGTCAATTAATACGCCCAAAAACTTTACATAAGATGCTTGTTTAATAATATTGTTATTTATTTTGAGAGTAATTTCTTGATTCAATGGTTTATTTCTTGATTTAAAAATGATAAATTTTGTTTTGGATGGGTTGATTGATAATTTATTGGCATTTAGCCATGCCACTATTTTATTCATTTCCTTTTGTATAATGTCAGCTAATATTTTTAAACATGAATTTGAACAAAGAGCATTTGTATCATCAGCATAAAACAAAAGAAAGGATGTTACTACAATTTTCAATATCATTTATGTATATTAGAAATAAG